TGTAATTAACTTACAGTAAAAGTAAACTTAAACTAACTCTTCCCAGGCCTCCTCACTTCGCAATTTCAGTTCTATCAGAGCTTGAAGTGGGGAAAATTCGATTTCAATTTGCTTTAAAAATTGGTCCGAAATCTACCTACCTACAGTATCTATCCCATTCAGAATTTAATTGAAGTCTTTTAGAATCCAATTTAACGGCAGATGGACGGACAGACGGAATAACGGATGGAAGGACAGACTGATAAAAACCAGATAAATAGATACCAAACAAGTTGCTGACAAAACAATTTTGAATCTGATTTGTAAACCACAGCATTTCGAATCAAAGCTAATCAAACTAAATTCAGAGGAGGGTAAAGGGCTGAGGCATAATCAAGAGAAACCAAGCACCAAAACATCACTTCCACAAACACAAAACCTCACAGAGGAATGATGGTGTTTGCAAACACTTCAAACCAAATCTCAATCATTTCACTTTATTTTGTATCCAAATTATGCCTGTTAGGAACAGGCTACAGGGAGACCCACGGCTTTACGAGACCACTGTTCTGATAGGTTCAGACGATACGAGTGCAAATTTGTTTTCCCCATGCGTCACACTCTGCCACTGCTTTTGAATGCAAAATATGTGCTAATTTATGTCCATACATTAAGATCAAGAAGGGAATGCATTCATTTCGGAGTTACAAAGGAGCATATAATGTTATCATAAAGCCCCTGCATATGCTCACTGGCAATGAGTCCTCTGACATAAACATATGGATGCTTGTTATGCCAACCCCCCAATTTGATTATCATTTAACGCAACCATAATTGCGTATAATTGATGTTATCTTCCATAAAATATGTTAAAATGCATAATGGGCCAGTGCTGTATTTATAGACGCCGTAATGAGTATATGAACGCGCACTCCAAATGCTGAATCTGTGCTTAGCATCACGCTGTAGATTGAATACGCAGTGGCACTTGGCACGTCAGCCGCGGGGCTACATAGTTCACTTCAGCCCTTTATTAAATCATAATCATCTCAGTTATAAGGCGCAGCAAAACACGTCCCCGTTGATTCGACAGGCAGCAGGGCAGGCGGCTCTGCATAGGGCCGAAGCAGCAAGACTAAACATCTGTAAGAGCATTAGGACCATAGACTGTAAAAAATTGTACAAAGCGTTTGTGACGTCACCCATAGACTATCAGAATAACGGTTTTGAGGCCGTTAATGGAGGTATGGACGGTCCCATCTTTTGAAAATATTGGGAAATCTTAACCCCGCCCATGTTCTGGGCAATCCATATATGGGTAAAGGGGTGGGCTTTGTGTGAGACTGAGCCGGCCGGTGGACGCGCCTCTCCAGCCAAGCAGCCTCAGCTATCGGTAACCGGTTATAAGCGTAATTTGCAGGTGGGACGGGTGGGAAATGTCCCCACCACTTTTTGCCAGGGTCGATATTGTCCCCACCAATTTTGAACTTGGACACACGCTTTAATCCGTTGTAGAGACTCCCTATTCGTTCTGGTGAAATCACAAAGTAAAATGCACACAAATGTGTCCCTGCTTGATATACAACCACTGATAAACATAATCGATTTTAAAAAAAGAATTAAAAAACAAAAACTATACGAGTGCGGATTAGAACCCAGAGCCCAGAACGCTTGGCAAAAGTTCTGCCACTGCACCATTAGAATGCATACATGTAATTGTCGGATTTATGTATTTATTCACGTGAAAATTCTCACCAACAACTACACATTAGATCTCATTAAACAACAAATTAAACACAATGTACTATTTAAATCGATTTCTGGGCATCGGAATGTTGTTGTACATACTGTAGGTACATCTGATTTATGATTTAGCATTGTATTCGCCCCCCAAACCCCCACATGTCCCTACCTCGGACGCTAACTTATCTGAGGCGATTTAATGCTAACTGTTACAGTGCCACTGTCCACAAACATTGATGCTAAATAGTGCAAGTAGTCCCCATACAGTGTCGGTTAGTGCAGTTTATAGCCGAGCAACCCATTTCATGTACGATATTTCATAATTTCAATAAAAATGTTTAGAATGGATAGAGAGGTGGTATGATGTGTTGTGTCAGATTATGGCCGAGACAAAAATTTCAGGAATTCCACTCGGCGCAACCCGTTATCAGCTGTCAATCAAAGTTAACCCAACCTTATTTGTCATAAATTTTATATCTAAATACGATCTTAAAAAAAATCACCCCCATCACAGTTGTCAGTCACTCGGAACCTATCGAAAAATATAATAAAAGTCCATGGGACCAACCTGTAAATACATGAATTTATGCTGTGAAAACTGACATTTTAACATGGGGTCTGTGGATATTTGCTCCCTTTTGGGGCCTCCCTCTAGCGGATATTCGATGTATTTCAGTTTTTTGCACACTTCCGTGCAGGCTTCATTTTTCAGATTAGAATGTTGCCGCTTGATTAGGACACATATAAGGGCATTAGGTGTGTACGTACACACACAGCACATGCTCAGGCTCTGAACAGGTCAACCGCACTGTTAGATGCCGTGAAGGATGCTCAGAGAGCAGGGAACTATCAGTGCCACCTGTTAAGTACACCATATTGGCTCTAATGACATACAGGACTGTCCATCTGTAATGGTCAAAAGCACATAAGGCATTTTACCCATTCTTTCTTCCCGCTGCTTTCTTTCGCTCTCTCTTATTCTTTCTGCTGTCCACGAGACCCTAATGAAGATCAATGCTTGTCTTCTTACCCACTCTAAACAGCCGTCCCATTTGAGTGCAGTGATCAAATGTGTCTAAAACTGTTGGGTGGATGTGCCTGACTCTGAAGCTGGGTTTTAACAGCACAGGGGGTTCCATTAAATGCTGCAGGAGATATCACACAGACAGGAAGACGTCCCAGAAGAGAATGCATGGTTTTTTTTTATATCCCACAGTGCCGTCTGACTGCCTCAGGCAGACACGCAGAATCATCATTCATTTACTCAATGTATTACCCCACCAACTTCCCCAGCCACTCAAACTGCAGCTCAGGGAGAAAGGAAGAGGAAAAAGACGAGAGAGAGAGAGCGAGAGAGAGAGTATTAACTAATATGAACTAATCATGAGCAATACATTTGTTACTGTATTTGATCATCTATACTGTATGTTAGTTGATAAAATTAAGCGGTTCACAGTTCACAGTGCATTAACTAAAGTTAACAAAATGTTTAATAAAGTATTAGTAAATGTTTAAATTAACATTTACAAAGATTAATAAATGCTGTAGCCTATTAGTGCAGGGTTTCAAAACCTAAAAGCTAAAATCCAAATTATGAAAGCTAATAAAGAGATTACTGATCCCATTGATACTTTTTCTGGTTGTAAATCTAAAGCTCAAATATAAAATAAAAATTATTCTTAAAAGAAAAAAAAATAATACTTAATACTTTTTTAAATTAAGCTTTTTTTTCCTGAAATATAATCTAACACAAAAAAGTAAATGTACCTAGAAAGATGTTAAATTTTTTTTTACTGTTTTTAGTAACAATTTAGCAGTATCTGTATTAATTCCTACGGTATATTACAAAAAATAAATATTACATTAAAAATGTAATGACAATTAAAAATAATATATAAAAGTGTAAAATAATACTTTATATATATATATATATATATAAGCTTATCAAGGAAAATGGTGGCGAAAAACTATGATATAGTTTATAGTTTAGTATATATAGTTTTGTTTGACATAAAAATACATTTATGTAATTTCATAATTTTGATACTTATTTATTCTAAAAATCGTGATTAAAAATGTTTGTCTAAGGTCCTAAATTTTGACTGGTACGAGTCATGCACACAGTTCAACACTTTAACCTCCAAACTGGGTCAGGAACAGAGAATGGGGGTAGGTAACGCAAACTTGTCATGCTCCACCACCAGGCTTTTGATATTCTGATGAGAAGAGCAATTGTTCACAGCACATACTGTAGCTTTAGCAGACTAGAATCAGTGGCTGATTAAGAGACTGATTGAAACATTATTCTGTGACCTGCAGAGTTCGGCTTCCTCAATCCTCAGTATTCAAACAGACAAAGATAGCAAGAAAAAAAGACTGGTATAATGTGTATAAAGCTATTTAGATCATTGATGTGATAAATGTTAAGACATGATGTTCTGTGGGAGACGTCTTTCAGTCTCAGTGTGTGAGCTTTTTTTCTCCAATCCGCTTTGTTGAGGGTCATACTGGTTAGTGATCTTTGATTTGATCAGCTCATTATTTAATTAGGATAAGTGGTTATTTAGATATATTCAAAATAATGTCTATTAAAAGTTGATAACAATGAGTTGTGTCATCATCAATTTTTTTTACAGAAGAATGTTTTCGTTCATAAAATGATTTTCAATGGGGGCCAAAATAACACTGGACCTCAGTTTTTCATTTTATGGGGTGGAGGGTAGGGCACTTCCTTTCTTTGTGTTTCACATAAGAAATAAAGTCACTATAAATACTATTCTTAAAAATTTTGGGGTCAGCGAGAATTTTTTTTTTTTTTATAATATTTTTTTCAGCAAAGATACATTAAATTGATCAAAACTTCTAGCTAAGGCATGTATAATGTTACAAAATATTTCAATTTCAAATAACAGCTGCTGTTTTGAACTTTCTATTCACCAAAGACTCCTGATAATAAATGTTTCTTGAACAACAAATCAGCATATGATTTCTGAATGATCGTAACACTAACGACTGGAGCAATGGCTGCTGAAAATTCAGCTTTGCCATCAAATAAAGGAATAAATTACATTTTGTAATATATTAAAATGGAAAATAACTTTAATTGTAATATTATTTCACAATATTATTTTACAGAATTTTGATCAAACAAATAGACTTTAAAAAATAAGAAAATTCTTACTGATCCCAAACATTTGCTAAATGCCTGTATTGACGTAGCAGTGAATTACAATTTTTGACTAAACCATCCTTTTAATAGAATCATAATGGGTTCTTACCCTTCCGATGAGCACTGGTTCTGGACCAGCATACTCCTCGATGACAAAGAACTGGTTCCAGATCCAGCTTCGTCGTCTTCTAGATCGAGCGATGTCCCCTTTTTGTTGATTCCGCCCCTCATCATCATCCTCATCCATTTCCTGGAAAACAAGGCCCTGTCCACCTCTGCCATGGCGAGAGTCCACAGTCATCTCTCCGCTCTCCTCCACCTCCTTCCTTCCCGATTCTGGATCTGGTGGGAGTTTTAGGATGTGACTGCTGTCAATGGGTTCTGAAATTTTAATCAATGAATTCTGAGTGACGCTGAATGGCATAAGAGTGCTCTGATCTGATTCATCTTCAACATCAAGACTCCTCTCAGTCAATGAGCTGAAAATGTCAGGCCGAAGTCCTGAGTCGATCTGAGACGGAGTGTGTGATATGCCCATATCTCTCTGACCAGCGAAGGGATTCGTCTCGGTGCTGGGCATGATCTCACTTTGAGGAGTTGATGCTATGTGAGTTGTGAAGTGCTTGTACTTCCATGAAGCAGTTACTGGAACACCTCTCACCTCCAATTTTCTGTCCTCCTCTCCACGATCCCCATTGAATCCGCTAAATTGTTTAAAGAGAGTGTGAACAGCTTGATCCGAATTTAGACTGGCATTTGTAAAAGTGCTTGAATGTAGCTCGGCAGTCTGGTTATCCATGTTATAAAGTTCAGGAGTGCCGTTCCTTTCTTGTTTTTTCAGTTTGATTGCCTCCGTCTGACTGTGATCCATGTTAATCAGATCCCTTTTCCTGCTGTGACTAATTTTTCCCAGAATATTTAGACCTGGGACACTCTTAAGCTGGGAATTCACAATCCGTACAAGGTTTTCTTTAGATATTAGTTTTAATAAGCTTCCAGTGAGATTCAATTTTCGAGGCGAATCTGGAGTGACTATCTTTGTACCAGCTGTAGTGTGAATGGCAAAATTTGAACTCATTCTGGATCTTGAAGGGATTTTGAATCTTGTTCTATTGAAGTGCATGCCAGAGGTTGGCCTGTGGTGCTTTGGGATCCATTTCTCAACTTTTCCACCTTTCCTTGTGTTATTTCTGCTCCTTTTTAAATCTAAAATGTCTCTAGAGTCATCAATTGGTGATTGTACCTTAAAATCCGCTTGACCAGAGTCTTCACTTATTTGTACAGGTGGTTTGGCATTGAACCCAACAAAGTTTTCCTTGGTGAAGACGGGAGAAGCTCCATGGCTCTGGTGAGTTGTAATCTGCTCTTCAATTTCCTCAGGAGCAATCAGTTCTTTGAGTCTTGTCATTGTATTTCCATTCCTCTCCAAACTTGCATCCCATTGGTCAGTTGCTCCATTTCCTGTATGCTGGGTCTGAATTGAGCTCACCCCTCTTCTCCGGATAATCTTACTGACACAAGCACCTCCAACAAAACAGAGGGACACCAATAGGAGCAGCCTTCTATCAATCATGTCGTCTTATTATGATGTATTAATTTGAACAACAACTGATGAAAAGACGTGTTCGCTTTCCAGTTGTCTTCATTATTTCGTCTTTCTCTTCTCAGTCTCCTTCACTCAGTCCTCCATAACACCACCTTCATCCAGCTCTGGAGAGTGTACGTCAGTCACTGTTGTGTTCACTTTATCTATCTCCCTCTATCTAGCAGAGCGTCTGTGTTTTAGTGCCGGTGAAATGTTTTACTCAGTTTCCCACAGAGGGTTGGATGCCCTGAGAGAAAAGATAAAGATAATTAAGTTAAAACTTTAATCATTGCGGTATGTTAATTAAAAGTGGAACGACATGGCAAAGTAGCAGAACACACAGCCAAGCTGATTCATTAACGTATGAGTAATCACAAGACAGTAACGTCGGCATCATCATTACAATTCAGTATGAGCCAAGGTGGCTGATATTTTCTTGTACTGCCAGATGTCTAAGGCATCATCAGAAGGCTTATAGGAAAATTGTGTTATGGCATTACATTTGTGCTTATCGGAGACAGGTCTGATCGGCAGCGCACACAGTGGTGCTCCGGATCTTATATCTGAGTCTACTGTGTAATAAAAGCAAAATTGTCTATTGTAGCAGGCGTAGTCAGCGGGGCGCTGTGGGACCATGGATGATGCGTTACATGAGAAAAAAACTTTAGCTTCAGGTAAATATTGCTAAATTTAGACCATCAAAAATTGAATATAAATAAATAACAAATAAATAACACAAATAAATAAATAAAGTGATACACAAATAATTGATGTTCTTATAGGCTTGTATGTTCAATCCCTTTCACATCAGTGGTGCTTTGACATATCTTGGGTCAAAGTACAAGATGGCTTAAAATGATTTACAATAAGACAAAACAAGCTTGAAAATTAGCTCAAACAAGCAAACCAGGGATCTCATGGTCTTTGAAAACCTGTACATATGAAGGAATTTTAAGGAAAAGTAATGGAAAGTAATAAAACCTTATAAATGATAACAGGACAGTGCCATTAACACCAGTGATCATGTAGCGCCTGGAAAGACTGGTCCTCAATTCTGCCCTACAAAGCAAAAAGGCAGTAACTACGCAGAGTGCAGAGCTGAGAAAAATTACTTTTGCTGGGACTTTTTGCAGTTACTGTACAAACGACTACCATTTTTCTCTAAAACGACACGCATTTAAGATAAGATGTTTTGTCATATAACAAAGGATGCCTTGAATGTCATGAAAATTGTAATAATTAATGCTTTACCAAAACTGCAGTTACTGCCTTTTTGCTTTGTAGGGCAGCATTACATCAAGACTGCTCTCCCACTTACAGTTATCGCTAGTACCGTTATATTGTGACACCCCTAGTGTGAACAGTACCATGCAATGACAATAAAAGGGATCTTAATTTTTTTTATTAATCTTAAAGTTATGGAAAATGTTCCAATGGACACATTTTTCTACTTATGTCAAGCTCTTTGGGGATAGATAAAACCATATAACCACAAATGACTAGAAAAGTCATAAAAAGTGTAATTAAAAAGTGTAAAACCTGAAAATTAATCAGTTATTGAAACTTCTGGAATAGAATTGTTTTATTAAATTATCTTAATATACTTCCACTCCCAGTTTCTTTAAATAAAAAGGGTTTAAAATTAGCTATTTTTTTTATAGTAAAATTATTATTATAGTTGGTTTCACAAACAGGGCTTAGATTAAGCCATAATTTGGCCTTAGTTCATTTAGTTAATAGCTTTTTGTGGCGATCAGGACGGGGCAGAGGGCCGTAAGAGAACGGCGGTGGTGTGCCGGTCTCGTATCTCTCACGGAGGAGCGGAAGCATAAAAGGAGGAGCAACGACAGTGAAGGATGAGAGAGGACAGGCCTGGACTTTACGTTGTTTTGTTTATGTTTTATTATGTGTGTGCACAGCAGTCGGGCATGAGGGGCTGCCGTCTTTACTTTGTTTTTGTATTTGTTTATTTATTTAAAGTTGTTAAATGTTCACTGGTTCCTGCCTCCTTCTTCCTATAACAACAAACTGCATTACATTATTATAAACATGCCTTAAAAAAAATATTCAAACATGTCCTTACTGAGGTCCTCCATTTTCCTTCAATGAATTCAACTTAACACCCAAAAAAATACACCAAACATTTGAGTTTATTTTTGGTAAAATGAATGACAGACTTCTGAAGCATTCAAGCATGCAGTTGGTGATGCATCATTTCACAAGTTGATTTTTGCAATTACCCGTTACCGAAGCTGTTTCTACCACAATACATTAGGAACTGTGCAATTTACAGTTTAAGTTTGATGTTGAATGAGGCTGTCTGATTCGTATAGACATGAACAATGAGGCACTGCAGTGTGAGTTGTGTTTATGAAGAGTAATGAACAGTAAGTTGAATGATGGTAATGGCAAAAGTGCATAACATTGCATGGTGGGTTGCGTATGTGCAAAGAGAGGGCCTCCCTGTGGGATGCAATTGCAAAACCATGAACTGTGGACCATATAACTACAGAACTACTTTCACCCAAGAACAGTGTGTTATGATTACAGTCCTAGAAAGTGCATAAAGCCATCCATTCAGACCACAAATGGTGAATGGTGGAGAGTTAGCAAACGGACATGATTACAGATTTACCTGCGGGGGAATGCACTAGGGCTTCTAAACTACACTTAACCCTGGGTTAATGTCTTTATAAACACCAGGTAAAGTCCAGTTTTAACTCTGGGTTAATCAACGTTTCACGTGTGATTTTTTAAAGGGATTTAGCAGTAGTTTGCACCCAGGGGCGGAGCTACATGGTGGCCAGGGGGGGCCACGGCCACCATTGGTCAAGGCTCGGCCCCCCTGCCGGCCCCCCCTCCCAACCTCACGGGAAAATAAATTTAATAATAATAAAAAATAAATATAAAAACTCCAGTAACGGTCTAAAAAGGAAGCTGAAATGTATGCATTTTTTAATCAAGTCATTGATTTGTCACTTGTTGGGTCTCGCCCCCATCAACAGTGCGAGACATAACGTGCCTGCATTCTGACAGCGCTTGGGCTGTTTACACCTGGCCACTTCATGCGTTTTCTCAGATCGGATAGCTATCTGATTTATCAAAACGATTCCATTTACACCTGGTCACATAAATGTGTTTTTGCAAAATGGATATAAATCCGATCTTCAATTCCTGCGTTATATACAGATTTAATGAAGTGCACGTCACCGAAAGCAACAGATATGAGCTGGATTTTATTGATCATCGGCTAATTTCAAAATCAGCAAAGACGGTATTAAGAGAGAGCGGCAACAGAACTGGTAAGATCATTTCGTTTCTTTACATTTAATGAAGATGGTCGTGTTAATCGTCTGCGACTTACTTTCACTTTGATTTGCGATAGATTGCGGCGCGTTGGCTTGCGTTCAGCCGCTCATCTGAGGTGATGCGCGTCGCAGTAGCGTCGTCATATCTGACTAAAATAGCATGACATGTAGCCTGTAACAAGCTCTCACGCGTTTCTTTTTTTAGCATTTTTGGGAGTATTAACATTTACATATGGTTTCAAGAACAAGATGCATTTACACTTGTCCAGTTTCGTCTGGAATGCGGCCCAGACCACCTTCTGAAGTGGTTTGAGTGATCGGATTCAAATCCGTCTCGAATGCGTTTCGGGGGGCATTTACACCTGGTCTTTTCACGATCGGATAGCTATCCGATCACAGAAAACGCATGAAGTGGCCAGGTGTAAACGGCCCCTATAATGTAGCATAGGGTTCTTTAATCAACTCCGAAGGACATTTTATGCTAAAAAAGGTTCAAAACTGACCAGAAAGAACCCTTATGGCTCAAAGGTTTTTTAAAGGCTATTATTCATTCATATTTTACATTATTCTGCAACATTTGTAGTTGTTATTAATTTATTGTTTATTAAATTGTTGTAGTAACTTAATATCACATTTTAATCATGCAGATTTTTAGAGGATAAAAAGTGAAATGGCACTCTTCGTCTGATATTGATTAATTACATTTTTTAACCACCATATATTGAATTTTGTGATCATTCGCATGCATTGCATTTTAAGGGTTCCAAATACGTAGCGCTTTAGAACCTTTTAAGGTTCTATATTGAACCTTTTCTTCTAAGAGTGTAATTGTTACAGCAGACACAAAGCGAACAGAACATTTCAGGGTAACACTTTAGAATATGGTTCCTTCGTTAATGAATAACAAGAACCAATGAGTAACACAATATTAACAATCTAGTAACTATTATTAACTAACAAGAAACTCTGATTAACAAACTAGTAAGTAATAGCGCACAGATGAAAGTGGTAGTTCTCTTACGAGAGGTTCTCTCGTATTGCGTAAGCTAGCTTACGCTACGGGAAAGATTCATCTTTGCTGAGAAGTTGAAGCCAAAAAATTATTCCATAATTTTGTAATCATTGTCAACGCAGTCTCTTCTGAGGCAGACCATGAGCGGGCTAGCTAGCGTTCTCTTACGAGAGGTTCTCTCGTATTGCGTAAGCTAGCTTACGCTACGGGAAAGATTCATCTTTGCTGAGAAGTTGAAGCCAAAAAATTATTCCATAATTTTGTAATCATTGTCAACGCAGTCTCTTCTGAGGCAGACCATGAGCGGGCTAGCTAGCGGCTCATTGGTTCGCTCAGAGAGAATGCACGAACCTATGGGAGAGCGGCGCTGAGTCCGCGGCCAATGAGCGGACGGCGCTCGCTTACTGCGTCACAGCCCGCCAAAAGGGGCGTGGCTACAGTGTATAAAGGTCGCTCTCCCAGCTCGTTCGTTGATTCTGTTCATTTCAGCGAGCTACACGCATCCGCTGTTCTGGAAGAAGCCGCCGTCGTTGAGAAGGCACCGTCTAGCGAGCTCCGGAGTCTGAGGAAGCCGGCCGTCTGCCACCTTCAGCCGCCCAGCAAGCTAGCGCCATCCGACGCGTATCCTTTTTACTATTCCATATTCCTAAAAGAGCCGAGCGTCTTTTTCAAGATGCCTCGTATTTCCTGCGGCTCATGCCGCTCTTCACTCGAGGAAGGAGACCGCTTCTGCGTTCTCTGTTTCGGAGTGGAACACGCAGAGCTCGCCCTCGCCAACGGAGGATGCGACCACTGCGAGGACCTGCCTCCGTCTTCCCTGCGGGCTCGACTACAGGCAGTCAGAACCGCTCCCGCGCCGCCTCTCACTTCGCCGCGGAAAAAGATACGCCGCTCCCAGAGGCCGCCGGAGCCCCCTGCGGATCCATG